CATTTCTTTGATTTAAATAGAAAGTCAAAAAATAAATAAATATATAAATATGCTTTTGAGAAAAAGCCAATAATGACAAAGATTTGTTTTTCTGATATTATTGCTTTTAATTTGATCTCAATATCGGCTGTGATGTGTATATATATCACAATTGATTAATAACTAAACTTGTATATGTTATTTGTATTTTTCTTTTTTGCAGTTTTTTGTTTTGATGAAAGAAACATTAGTTTTATATAAAAATGTATAGTTCACTTTTTAGTCCTTAATTTTGATTGGCTGAGCTGTGTTCAAAGTATGAATTCACAATGCTGTTTTGCAGATCACTTTACAGATTACACACTTTAAATAAATTCTTGCAAAAAAAAGATTTCCATCATTTATGGTTGTCAGGGTTTCTGTGGGGTCTTAAAGTCTTGAATTTCAAAAACTAAATTTTAGGCCCTAAAGTCTTAAATTCACTGAAATATTGTCTTTTATGCCTTAAATCCTTTTAAACAAGTATTTAATGTCATTTGTCAATGTTTCTAATCACCTACAATCAATCTAAAAAAAAACTTATTTATTTTTAGAAGAAGTTGTTAAAGTGCATGTATACAACTTGGGTTTGCTTGTTTTGATACATTATTTAAAATATGTGGCAAAGAAATAACTAATTAGATTGTTTTGGGATGTGGCAAGTAAACCTCTTTTTTCATATGACCAACCAGGAAAAAATCCTTAGTGTTTAGCCCTGTATAAGTCTGAAATTTCATTTATAACGGTCTTAAAAATCTTGAATTTGACTTTATGAAACCTGCTGAAACTCTGGGTTATTCTCAATACCCTGAGCTGTTAATCTTTCTAATCAGTTTGGTTTTATAATCTGCTTTTATAGTAAACATTGAACTTGGATGTTGTAGTTCCTTAAAATGGTGTCATTTCTGTCCAGCCTGTTTCTGCAGAAAGACCTTCAGCAATGGAGATTGAACAGAAATTACAGGAACTGAACCGCCAAAGTGCTGAAGCAAGAGCTAAACTGCTAGAGCTGATTGAGCAACAGAAACAGAGCACATCCATCAGAGCTTCTCCTGCCATCTCTCCTGTTCCTCCTCCCTCCAGCAGCACTCTCACAGGTGTGTGCGCGTGTGCTAACGTCTCTTGCAGAATGAGGGTGTCTGATACATGACCGCTGTTTGTGCTTGACAGTTAAAGGATTCAATCCAGAGCCATTTTTGACACTTCCTGAGAGAAGCCATTCACCACAACTCAGTGCGAGCATGCAAAGGCAAGTTATGAAAAGTCAAGAAGCAGTTTGCTAATGACATACAGTCAGAGACATTTTCCATAGCGCTGTATTGTTTTTAATGCTCTTCTCTCAGGTCAGCTGGAAGAGTCTCACCACACAACTCTGAAAATGGGGAAATCCCAGAGAATCAGGTATGAAGTCTTGTTTTTATTACACACATTTAACCATCTATAGGCCATTTTTTTACTTGGCCATACGATGCACTTTAATTGATCCAATCACAAGTAGACAGAACTGAACACGGGTCTAAACAACGACCACATCTAGAGTTATTTTTTCATTTTTTAGAAAATGAAACATTTGTATAACTGCTGCAATTTAAAGCAGCTGATGCTCCACATATTGGCTTCTAGCAAATGGCTCATTTGTAGCCTTAGTTCCTGGTTAGGCTTTTAATAAACTGAAACAGTACAAGTATCTTTATATTTGGCCACTGTTGGGAGGCGTGCGTTGTTTCCCATCAGTGATGATATACAGGCATATGGCACTGCTACTCATGTGATATTGCATTTATACAACAGTTCGACAGCTTAAGGGTGTACATAAAAAAGAAAATCAAACACGGAGAGTCTAAAAACCCTTGTGTATAAGGAACTACTTCCGCAATTCATTTACATCTGCAGCTGACATCAGAACAGCAGAAACCAATGCTAGTTCATAAACGTCACTTTAGAGCTCGTATTTGAATGATTCTCTAGCGTGATATCTGAAGTGATGACAAAACAGGTGATTTTGCTGACATTTTAAGATTATAAGGCTAAATGTGACATGGCATACCATAAGTCTAGAGAGAGATCTTCCAGTATTTCTCTGTTGCAATCTCTGTTTTTTTTTCTCCTTGAAGGTCTTATCATGCGGTCTCTGTTGTCATCTTGTGGATGGACAATGTCAACCGTCTTTGCTTTGCTCAGTGACAGGCTGATGGATGCCGACACACACTGAGTCTCAGAAATATTATAAATATTTAAAATTGTCACTATCCTTATAAATAAACTGCATAGTTGCAATCTAAACAACTACATTCTCACCCAAAAAAGCCTCAAAAGTACATCATGTTGTCAACAGCTGCCTTATTTGTCCAACTCTAGTGAGTTTTTTTGATCTGCTGTCACTCTATGTGGGTGGAGTAATACACAAGGGTGTGTTAGTTGTACGAGTTCTGATATTACAGAATATTGCATGGCTATCAGCCAATCAGATTCGAGAACCAGACAGAACTGTTGTATAAATATTTAAAAAGTACATTGCCAATAAATAAATAGAGGAAACCGCTTGATAATCTCTAACCTGATTTAGTTTGAACCACTTTTTGACCTCTCTTTGAAATATGTTTAAATCTGTTTGCTTACTTGGTCCAATCGGCAGGCTGTTCCAAAGCAGTTTACTGTGAACTGAAAATATATATTGTGCATATGTAGTTTTTCTGTTTTGGTACTGTGCAGTTTGGATTGGTTATGTTTTTTTTGTAATAATCCCTTTACTGCTTGCATTTGTGTATATTGTTTAATTGTGATTCGATCAACCAAACTGCATCTTAATACCAGGTAAACAGGATTATATTTAGTATTTTTAAATCAAATTATTTGTGTTTCTAGGGCTGCACAATATTGGAAAAATCATACATAGCAATATTTTGTTTGGCCACAATATACATTTTAAATCGCTCTGTTGGATCTGCATAAATGATATTAAATTACAAACAAAAATAAATAAATAATCAGTGTTTTATAATAGCACTGCATGATATTGGAAAAATGTGATATTGCGATATTTCTTTTTTCTGCAATATATATTGCAATATGAACAGAATTTCAGCAGATGGCTTGAATAGCTCTATTTGGGGGAAAATAATTAGTATATATTAATTGGGGTGATTTTATAAGGGTGTTAACCATGTATAATATATAAACAAATTCCAAGCAAGAATAATTACCATAGGGCAAAGAAAACAAGTAAAATAAAGAGAGCTTTATGGTTTTTCAGAGAGTCAATCAGTATTCAGGAACAGAAATGGAATAATAAAAATGTCAAATAAAACTGTATAGTCTTCACTGCATTAATAATTCAGCAAAATTATTCTTCATTAAAGTTACAAGCAGCTCTTAAATACTTAACATTTGCTTGAAATGCCTTTTAAACACAAGCAAATAATAAAGTTTCACTCTGTTCTGGTTATATTTCGCAGCGACTCCACAAATCTCATGTATCTCATGATTGTTGATCAACTATAATCCCAACTCAGTATTGCAGATCGTGTGATGTGACTATTGCGGACATTCACATTGTGATATTAATCCTGAAACCATATATTGTGCAGCCATAATTTACTTATAATTCCAACTGTATTCAAGTACAGAAATTGAACAATAAAATGTTCATGCTTGTATAAGTAATTTTAAAAAGTAATATCTTTATCTTTTAATCTTTAATAAATAATCTAGTCCTGCAATGTGACACATAGTGAAATTGATGTGTAAGCAATATATTGTTCAGCCCTACATGTTTCATATTCATGCTTCATTTTGTCTTGATTCTGACAGGTGGAAAAGCTGAAAAGAGATGGCTGGTTTGCATTGTCAGCTCATGTCAAATAATGTTTCTATGCACAACATGTCCAATACATCCTTAACTTGGTCTTCAATATAAAAAGACATCATGACCAGTGTAACAAACCATGAGCGTTAAAGGAGTAGATACATTTGATCTAGAATATCGTACACTTGAATTCTCATATGAAGTATTTTTTATATATATATATATATTAGACATGCTTAATGACTTGTCAGGTTTATTTAATGTATGAATTTTAATATTTTTTTTAAGCAATAAAAAATGCCACAATAAATTTCAGATCATTAAATGCTTTGTATTTGTTTTCTGTTTAACATTTTAGAGAGTTTTTAACATTTATACATTTTATTTAGCAAAAATGTAAAAAAAAAAAAAAAAAAAAAATCAACTGATCAAGCAACTTTAAATTTTCTGTACTGCCATACAAAAAATCCAAAATATTTTGTAAATTATATCTGGTTACTAATAGATTTTTAGGAGCACAGCACCATATAAACCACCCAACAATAAAAATATTTTATTTAATATGCTGTTTTAATATTTTAATATACTTTAATACAGCATGGATATGAAATTACCATGAGTACTCTCATACAGGTCACATTCAAAGTCATGCATTGAGACTCGTACCATTACAGTAATCACCATTCAGAAATGTTACAGTCTTCTATTATTTTGCTGCTCCTCCAAATCTCCGATGATCACAGGGCCAAGCCACACAGAAGCAACTAAACGTAGGGCCAGTAATACTTTTTTGTCAAATGTTACCCTATGTAGTTAACAGTGCTGACCCCAAGGTAGAGATCTGCGCGGGACTAAATTTTGAATCCCGCTCCCACCCACACCTGCCAGGTTTTAGCTCGAACCCGACTGCTCCCGCTTATATTAAGCACTTGTTGTCCCGCAGCCCGACCCGCCCCGTTTTCTACCCGCCGCGCCTGATCCTGCTAAAGAGCGGGGGGAGAACAAAACCGAAAATCACCCAGCTATACAGTCCAGACAGCCTATAACAAGCTGTCTGTTTAAACACACACACACACGCACACATACACATCTCTCATTTGCGCGTGCGCACACATACACACAGCAACAAACAAGCTAAACACAGCATCACGCTATTTCATTTACACACATACATACACGAGTCTGGAGCGATATTGCTAGACAGCCCGCTCCCATCCCAAATTAAACCCGTTACCGACTGCTCCCGCGATTTATTCGGAAATTTATACCCGTGCCGCAAAAATCTGGTCTGGTCCCGCGGCGCCCGCGGGACAGCCGCAGGATTGCAGACCTCTACCCCAAGTTATATTAAATGCTCTATCTTGGTTCTATATTTTCCTAAATAAATGAAACCTGCTGTGTTTCATTAGCACTATGATCTGATGGAAGATTCTGAATTTTCAGATTTTCCTTTGAAATGTATATGGAATCTACCACTTGCTATAGATATACATGACCATGACATTTCAGAAACATTTTGTGCACAATTTGGTTCATAGTTGTTTAGATATGTTATTTTTAGATATGTTACTTAAAACTGCTCATGCCGAAGTCACTTTTAACCAAGCAGCGTTTCTGTTGGAGAGAAAATTCTTAAGGGACTCTAGAAATTCTTCAGATGGTGCAAATTTCATGACTTTACCTTTGAAATTGCACAGAGGTATGATAAATTTAGTCTCTGCTTCAGATGAATAAGCACTACTAATCGGAACTAGGCATGGGATGATAACCGTGTTCAAGGTATACGCGGTTTGGAAAAGTCAGGGTTTTAAAATCGCCAAAATTTTCTGCAATCACAATACCGTGAAACCATGATATTTTTATCCAAGGTTATCATACCATCAGAATCTTATACTGGCCCATGCCTCATTGGAACTGATATAAGCCAACTGACAGCTAGAATATAGACACCATGATCAAAGCTTTATGTCCTTTTGTGTTTCAAGCTAATAGAGATGATTGAATGTAGACATAAATGTTATGCTATTGAAACAAAAAAAAAAACACTAAAGCACCTGTGACAAATATGCTGCTACCGTTAGCATTTTGAATCTGTATGTCTTATAACACCTTAAAATACTGTGCCAGTGTTTTGAGTGGACCATCGTACATTTAGTCACCGTTAGTACCTATTGTGCTGGATTAGACATAATCTGAAGTAGGAGCTAATTCAGTTCCCCCACATGACAAACCTAGTACTACAATTGTTCATCGTTCTTGTGGCACAAACATGCAAAATTCATCTGGGTACTTCTAACAGTTCTAAGAACAATGAAAAAAATTCCTTTAGTGCAAAACCCCCTAATAAGCCCAAAACATTATCTGTGGGGAAAAAGCATGGATATCAAAATTGCATCTAGTTTATGGCAAAAGACTAAAATGCAACCATGAAGACGTCATTGTTACAGCTTTCACATCTATGAAAATATGGTGCGAAGCAAAACCAACTATTAGGATTACTTGATAAAATGCCATCACAGCCATGTTTCTGAACTTTATAGATATAGACATTTCGATAGTTTGACAATAGAATAATAAACATGTTTTTAAAAAACTGTTTAGCATCAACACCTTTAACAGGACACTGTTTGAGTTCAAGTAAAATCAAAAATCTGTTGAAATTTAAACCAATAACTCACGATTTCACTTTCAGCTATATAGGAGCCATTTGGCACCCACTGACAGGTAAAAGCTGCAGCTCTCTCTTGGCTATTGCCTTGGTGCTGAAGGATTGAGACACACTGGCAATATAAAGCTTAAAATAATGCAAAAAGCACAAACAATTAATGATGACTGTAGAAAGCAAACGCTAAATCCCAGACTCTTAAAGAGATTTAGAAATCCCAGCCTATTCCTGCACCTGTTAAAATAGAAAGGTTTTTTTCACAGTTTTTAAATTTCAATATTTGTAATATTTTACCTAAATCCTTAAAAATACATTTTTAATCTTTAAAAATTTCAAAAATGTTTATTCAAATACTATTAAATATCAAGCTGCGGCCCGCTGCAATGTTAAGCTACTCGTATTTTCAATCCACTTCACAATCTCTATGCGGCTCAGCCCACAGCCTTCCACTCCTGTATATAAACTTGACCTCACACTCCAACCCAACGCTCTTGACCTTAAAGCAGCAGCCGTCATCCTTAATCTGAGCGCAGTGTCTCTGAGCTAGAGCCTGCAGCTCATCCCAGCCCACACCTTCCCCCTCTCTCACCCACACTTTCCCACCGACCTCCACCAGAACATCCCCTCCGCACCACTGCATATCCCGCAGACCTTCAGCTTTGAGCAAATATATACACGCACAACGTGGCACACACACCTTAAAACGCCCCCTCCCCTCTTCATAACAAAGACAATGCAGTCGAACTAAAAATGAGGTAGGTTCTGAAGTGATGAAGCGAAGGATTTCTTCCACCCCATTATCGATAGCGACAGGCCCATGAACCCTACTCGCAGAAAAAAGCTTCGCGGGACCAATTATCCTCACTGATTCGAGAATAAACTGAAAGTTGTGATGCTCGCCGAGTTGTAGGTAGCTCTGCAAGTCGGAAAGGGTCTCCTGGTGCAGCTGCATGAGAGAGCCTATGCCTAGATTGGCAGGATTGAACTCCAACACTGAAAGCAAACGATGTCGGATTCCAGCATCGAAGGACTCCGAGTTAAAAGCAGGATTTGACAGAACAAACCGAACATGCTGGGTTACTGCAGCAACTTTGGCGTTTGAGAAATCAATAGTGGTTCTCGTGGGCTGCACAACTTCTAAAAGGCGTGCAATACGAACACACGCCTCCAAATACTGTCTTGCTAAAAGAGTTGCATCATGGTCCGAGGTGGATGGAACCATGCTGCTCAGAGCTTTCCGGATGACCCGTGAAGACACGCCCTGGAAGGAAGTGACCCGGTGCAGCCTGCTTGGCCTGCAGGAAAACAAGCCTTCCACTGAAGAGGACAGCTGGAGGCCTTCCTGATGGGGATGCAGGTCCTTCAGCACCTGAGCGAGCACTCGAACGCTCTGCAGGAGACTCTCAGCGTCTCCTTCAGTCCAGCACTGCTCGATCTCCTGCAGAAGAGGGCCTTCGATCCGGCCGCTGGCGCTCAGCTGCTCCATCATTCCCAGGATTCCTCCGCTTGGCTTGGCCTCGGGCTCCTCCAGAACTTCTGCCATGCAGTCCCATATCAGAAAGCTGAAGATGGCCCACACTGTCCGCTGATCCGTGCTGTCATCAGGACACAGGTGGTCCCAGCTGCGCAAGTGGTCCTGGTCATGCAGGTGATCCCAGCTGTGCAGGTGGCTGTGGATCCCGCTGCGGAGGAGGGTCTCGGCCTGTTGCAGCAGCCTCAGCAGCAGACAGCCCCTCTCAGAGAGTTGGACCCCTGCGGATGACAAGCAGCTTTTGAAAAATGTTTGTCTGTCTGTCCGTCTATCTCCCCTGCACATGCTTTACGCTCATCTGATATATTTTTTAACTGTCAACAAAAAAAATCTAAAATCTATGGGGGTTTAGGATTCTTTCTGGTACCTAAACTGGGGAATTATCTGCGCTCTAAAGTTGGGACTGCAAAATCCTTGAGTGTTTTTAGATGAGCATGGATTTATTAAGGGTAATTTTTAAGGTAGTTTTAAATTGTTTTGTTTTTACATTTTATTTTCTGATTTCATGTCTTTTTTTTTTTTTTTTTTTTTTTTGTCAAGTTTTTTTAATGTATCTTTTACTGCTTTACTTTTTATTTGTGTGTAAACACTTTGATCTGGTACTTTTAAAAGGTACTCATTCATTTATTCATTCATTTTATTTTCGGCTTAGTCCCTGTATTAATCTGTGATCGCCACAGCAGAATGAACCGCCAACTTATCCAGCATATGTTTTACGCAGCGGATGCCCTTCCAGCCGCAACCCATCACTGGGAAACCCATACACACTCATTCGCACACTTGCATACACTATGGACAATTCACCCTACCCAAAATCACCTGTACCTGTGTCTTTGGACTGTGGGGGAAAACCGGAGCACCCGGAAGAAACCCAAACGCAGGGAGAACATGCAAACTCCACACAGAAACGCCAACTGAGCCAGCTGAGGCTCGAACCACCAACCTTCTTGCTATGAAGCGACAGCACTACCTACTGCGCCACTGCGTCGCCCTTTTGAAAGGTACTGTATAAAATAAAGTTTGTTATTATACCGATGTCAGTACAAAATGTAGTCTATTTTCTAAAAATTGAATGTTTTCCTCCAAAGGCAGGCTCAAAAGTTTTCTAATAGTTCTTTTTCGTTCTAATGTTCTTTTTTATTGGAAATGACATCTAATCATTATAGGATTGTTTTGCTTACTGTATATAAAAAAATATGTCTGGGACCTAACATTTATTGTGACTGTTTTTTTATACTCTGTATAAGAGCCATATGTACATTGTTTTTTGTTTATGTTAATAATAATGTAAAAAGCAAAACTTACTGAAAAGTAAAAAATATTGTAAAAGTAATTAAATTTTTTAATATAGAGTATATGCTGATGCAACTCACTGTCATGAAGATGGAAGCAAGAGTGTTTTGACTGTACAATATAGTTCAGTTAAGTTGTTATTAAACATTTTTCCACACGACATCACAGAACTGTCTTATGTTACTTGTGTTCAAATCCCACTTACTCAAAGAAAGAAACAAGACAAGAAGAGATGGACTGATGGCACAAACACTCTGTATTTATTTATTTACTCGTTTATGCATTTTTGTTTTGGTCATACTTTATTTTGATGGTCCGTTTGTTGAATTTAGGTTATGCCAACTTATTCTCATTAGATTATAAGTAGACCGTTAGGTTAGGGTTTGGGTTAGGCATGACATGTACTTGCAAAGTTTCTTATAGTTAGTTCAATGTCTGTTGAAGGAGCATATCAACAGATATTAAGCACTAAAGTCTACTAAAACTACTAATAATGGACCATCACAACTTTGTTTCCTCTTCAATTTTTTTATTTACTTCTTATCTATTTTTTTATTATTATTATTCTTTTCCTCTTCAAATGATTTTTTAAATAACTTATTTACCACTAATTTCCTCTTCAGGTTGTTTTAATACATTTTTTTTATTACTCTTCCTCTTCAGATTTGTATTTATTTACTTGTTTTGGAAAAGTACATTTATTTGTTATTGTTTATGTTCTGCTTTTGTTGTCTGTTCTAACTAAAGCACATGTCACAAAAACTTTAAAACTCACTTTTAACTATTTGTATTTTTGGAAATAACTTTTTTTCTGCTAATTTTAAACAGTTTATCACAAAAATGAATGTGTTATAAACAGTACGTAAATTATTTTAATGTAAACACTTTCTTACACCCTGAACACATGTATGTACATTAATAATATAAATTTTATACATTGAATTATTTTATTTATTTCTTTTTATAAATGTGTGTTTGTTATAAAGATATTTGTGCCTTTATTACTTTTTGATTAAACATTACAATCCCCATATGGTACTATTTAAAATTTCATTAAATATATATGTATTTTTCACTTGTATAAATTTGAATGAATTAAACTGATCAAGTGACACAAAAATTAGGCATTTCAAATTAGTTTCTTCTTTCATAAACGCACTACATTTCTACTAAAGGGTGCAAAAATATTTATTAAGCATAAAGAACAGTAAGATATATTAAAAAGCATAAAATCAACATGATTTCTGGAGTAATTTTCATTTTCTTCAGGAGGAGGATCTGCTGCCATCCTGTGATTGTCATTTTCTGGTGCATTTACATGATACTGCATGCATTTTGATAATAATATTACTTCATTAAGATATTACATGCATTCAAATGGTCATTTTAAATCCATTTAGATTTACACATTCGTGCGCATACATTTAGGTAAATCATTAGGGCTTTCTAAAGATCAGATCATCTGTTAAGACATCAGGTAAAAGCAGCAGCAATGCAACATGCATACAAATATTGACATAAACTATTATGTAGATATTCTACATATATGTAAAAAACTACATAAAATAAAAAATTAATTCAATATAAATATTAGGTTTTTTCTTTGTACTGATAAGACCGAATCTTGATAAATTTGTCCATCACTTACACTGAGGGCTGAGTTCTGCCACTCTGCTCAATAGCCTGTCTTTATCTTTTGTCTTCTCCATATAGAGGGACACCAGAGCCTCCAGCTGAGCGGAGTCTTCTATGCTGACCCCTTCCAGAAGATACTCTCTGACCGTCCGACGCGGCAAACCCATCGCCACACCCACCTCACACACGTTAAATCTGATCTCAACGTCCTCAGTCAACCCTAGGTGAGCCATGACCTGCTGCAGGCCACCTGATGGAAACAACATCAGTCTGAGGTGAACTCCGGAGATCTGGTTTAATTCTGAAATGTGGTCCATTCTGGTATAATGTTGAATCGTGAATCACCTGAAAGAGGTAAAGCTGCCCTCAAGTGACCTCTGGTTTCCTCCACTGCTATCTGCACGATGCTGCCTTCAGTCTCTTTATTATGGTCTTCCACCACACTGTTTACTACAATGAGAAGATTGCAACGAAAATTGAATAACAGGCTAGTGAATTTCCTGCTAAAGCAACATTAGAGCTTACATTTAGTGCTGTTATATAATAATATAGCATGCATTTAAATTATTTTATTGCAATTAGTGTATATATATATATATATATATATATATATATATATATATATATATATATATATATATATATATATATATATATACAGTGCATACGGAAAGTATTCATATCGCTGCACTTTTTCCACATTTGTTTATGTTACAGCCTTATTCCAAAATGGATTAAATTCATTTATTTTCTAAATTCTACATACAATACCCCATAATGACAATGTAAAAATTTTTTTTATTGTTTTAAATTGATTAAAAATAAAAATAAAAAACCTGAAAAATCACATGTACATAAGTATTCACAGCCTTTGCTCAAGACTTTGTTGATGCGCCTTTGGCAGGAATTACAGCCTCAAGTCTTTTTGAATATGATACAACAAGCTTGGCACACGTGTCTGTGGGAATTTTTGCCCATGCCTCTTTGGTTGAATGGGAAGCGACGTTGTACAGCCATTTTCAGATCTCTCCAGAGATGTTCAATAGGATTTAGGTCTGGGCTCTGGCTGGGCCACTCAAGGAAATTCCCTGAGTTGTTGTGAAGCCACTTCATTGATATTTCGGCGGTGCGCTTTGGGTCATTGTCCTGCTGGAAGATGAACCATTGCCCCAGTCTGAGGTCAAGAGGTCTCTGAAGCAGGTTTTCATTCAGGATGTCTCTGTACATTGCTGCATTCATCTTTCCCTCTATACTGACTAGTCTTCCAGTTCCTGCTGCTGAAAAACATCACCACAACATGATGCTGCCACCAACATGCTTGACTGTAGGGATGGTATTAGCCTGGTGATGAGCGGTGCCTGGTTTTCTCTAAACGTAACGCCGGGTCTTCACTCCAAAGAGTTCAATTTTAGTCTCATCAGACCAGAGAATTCGGTATCTTATGGTCTGAGAGTCCTACAGATGCCTTTTGGCAAATTCCAGGTGGGGAGTGGCTTCCGTCTGGCCACTCTATCTTACAGGCCTGATTGTTGGATTGCTGCACTGATGGTTATCCTTCTGTAAGGTTCTTCTCTCTCCACAGAAGAACGCTGGAGCTCAGACAGAGAGACCATCGGGTTATTGATCACCTCCCTGACTAAGGCTCTTCTCCACTGATCACTCAGCTTAGATGGCCGGCTAGCTCTAGGAAGAGTCCTGGTGGTTCCAAGCATCTTCCACTTATGGATGATGGAGGCCACTGTGCTCATTGGAACTTTCAGAGCAGCAGAAAATTTTCTGTAACCTTCCCCAGCCTTGTGCCTCGAAACAATCCTGTCTCGGAGGTCTACAGACAATTCCTTTGTCTTCATGCTTGGTTTATGCTTTGACATGCACTGTCAACCCTGGGCCCTTTATATAGACAGGTGTATGTGTTTTCAAATTATGTCTAATCAACTGAATTTACCACAGGTGAACTTCAATTAAGCTGAGACATCTCAAGAATGATCAGTAGAAACAGAATGTACCTGAGCTTAATTTAGAGCTTCACGGCAAAGGCTGTAAATACTGATGTACATGTGCTTTTTCAGCTTTTTTATTTTTAATCAATTTGCAACAATTTAAAAAAAATATTTTTTCACATTGTCATTATGGGGTATTGTGTGTACAATTTTAGGGTACTGAATGGATTTATTTCATTTTGGAATAAGGCTGTAGTTTAAAAAAAATTAGAAAAAGTGAAGCGCTATGATTACTTTCCGGATACACTGCATTCACTATAAATTACTAGTATTTTTTCATGTGGTCATTTATCCGCAATAAAAATAAAAAAACGCAAACGCGATCTCCACTACTGGTGACATTTCCATGCAGCAGAGATTCGGGAAGTGTTTGACTACTGATGTATCTTCTGAGCCCTCCTCTTACTGCAGCCACCTGCTCTTATCTACACTGCATTCAAGGCGAGGCGGATCTCAAACAAGTCTAATGGTGGAAGAAAGTAGTTCCTCTTACAACAGGGTATTTGATTTTCATTTTTATACACACGATTATGCCATCAAACTGTTCTATACATGCAATATCACAGCTGTAGCAGTGCGATGTGGCTGTATATCATCACTGGTGGGACACTAAAGCTGCATGCATGCCTCCCACCAGGGCTGATATACAGCCACATTACACTGCTATTCGTGTGATATTGCATTTATACATGCGCGTTTATATTTATTACACCGCATGCCTTATGATTATAATATTGCATGCAAGCATTCATATTGTTTGCATTCAATACACTGCATGCCTTTAAATTATAACATTGCCTGCATTTTTAAATTTCATGACTTTACGGTATACTATTGAATGCATTTAAACTGTAATTCTGCATAAATATAAATCATCATTTTGCATGCACTTCAAATTATAATATTGTATCCATCTAAATTATTTGGCGTGTATTTATATCACATTACACACATAATATATATACATGTAATATTTCATGCATAGGTAACAGTTTTCTGACCATTAAGTTCCTCAGCCAGCTGCTTGTCCTCATTTTGTAGGGCTGCGTAAAAGCTCTTGCACGCTCTTTCTCCTTTCTTCAGACAGATAGACAGCAGGGTTTGTGCTTGCTGGGTTGGGATGAGTATTGCTTCGATTTTCTCTAGCTCCAGCTGAGTCAAAATGCCACTGGAGAAAAGATCATATGAGACCGGCAGAGCAGAACAGCCCAGGCGTGAGGACAGAACACCAAACCGGGCCTGAACATGACGTTCTGCATGGAGAAAGGACAACAGTGTGGGATGGAGACATTTACAGAAATATGTCATTAAAAATAATGGTACTTTCCTACCTGTTGGACCTTGCTGAATACAAACTGGTGCGGGTTGATCTGATTTGAGAGCACAAAATGTTACAAATGTTAAAACATTATTATTTTTAAGTTTTAAGGCAAGACACTGCAAGCGAATAGGATAAGAAAATAACTAACAGTTATTATTTATAATATAAATATTACCATAATTCTCAAGTTGGTTGATTACATTGAAGGTTACAAGATTTCTAAAAAGTCATCATTTCTAAAAAGGCATTTTCATAATATAAAAATTTATTAAATTATTTAATTATAGTTACATACATTTGTCATAAACAAATCTGATTTTTTTTTTTTTATTCTTGGTTTAAAATTCTCGTTTTTGAATTTTGTCTTGAATATTTTTAAAGAAACTTCAGAATATATATTGATTAATGTCTTGCTGCTAAAGTAAATGTTTATGGCTGAATGTTTGAAAAATTTGAAAATATATACAGTACCTGACAAAAGTCTTGTTGCCTATACAACTTTTAGGAACAACAAATAGAAACTTCTAGTTGATCATTTGGTATTAGAAGTGGCTTATTTGAAAGGCAAAGGCTTCTTTATGCATATTAACCAAAATATGATAATTTCTTGATTTTTCCATTCTTTAGGACAGTAAGGTCTGACTTTGCTTAGACAACAGTCTTGTCACTTAACAGGAATAATGTACAGTATAGAATATAAAATCGTGGTGCAGTGGAAAAAATTATATTGTATATGACTCCCATGAGCTTGGGTGACTGCATCCATACTGTACATCTCTGCAATGATTTAAATATCTTATTACTAAAGTCATCTGGTATGGCAAAGAAAGCGTTATTGCAGGACTCCCACAGTTCATCATCAAAGCCTTCTCCATTTTACCCCAGACACGCTTAATAATGTTCTGGGGACTAGGCTGGCCAATTCTGGAGCACTTTGACCTTCTTTGCTTTTAGGAAATTTAATGTGGGGGCTGAAGTGTGAGAAGGAGCGCTATCCTGCTGAAGAATTTGCCCTCTTCTGTGGTTTGTAATGTAATGGGCAGCACAAATGTCTTGATACCTCAGGCTGTTGATGTTGCCATCCACTCTGCAGATCTCTCACACATCCCCGTACTGAATGTAACCCAAAACCATGAATTTTCCTTCACCAAACTTGACTGATTTTTATGAGAATCTTGGGTCCATGCGGGATCCAATAGGTCTTCTGCAGTATTTGTGATGATTGGGATGCAGTTCAACAGATGATTCATCAGAAAAGTCTACCTTCTGCCACTTTTTTAAATGATCAACTAAAAGTCAAGTCATTATTTGTAGTTCTTATAACTGGGTTCGACCAAATTTTTGTCAGGTAGTGTATTGTAATAAAAATCTACTGACACATTGATTAGGCCAACAAAAAAATGTGTGATTGTGTTTTGGATGTTTTATTTAAAGTTAGACTGAAAAAAACACTTTATGAAGAGATTAAATTTAAAAAAATCTGCGTCTCGCCTTAAGACAGAATACTTTATGCAAAATAAAACCTACTTTCTTCTGAAGTCAGCCAGGTTCGTAGACGTGGGTAATGTTTCTGGCATTTTCTCAGACACTCCATGAATCTGGAGGCACCACTTTCATCCATCTGAGCGTCAACGATCTCTAGAAGTTTTCGGGCTTTATTGGGGGGCGTTCGCTCTGCTTCAATCTCGTAACAGTTTTCTCTAGAGAGCAGCCCTATGGATATTACACAGTCAAGCAGTGGGCCGAGGTGATACAGACCATCCACCAGCAGCATCTGTGAAGACAGCAGACGGCCCTTCACTGTCTGCTTCTGCTCTAGTCCTGTAGGAAGAGTAGAGCAAGATGGGCCGTTTTTATTAAATATGTTGTCTACTTGGATGTTGTTTCATGGATGGATGGATGGACCGATAGACGGACAGATGGATAGATAGATTGTTGATAGAATATTTAAATTGGTAGACAGATAGACAGATAGATAGACAGATAGATAGATAGATAGATAGATAGATAGATAGATAGATAGATAGATAGATAGATAGATAGACAGATAGATAGACAGATAGACAGATAGATAGATAGATAGATAGATAGATAGATAGATAGATAGATAGATAGATAGATAGATAGATAGATAGATAGATAGAAAGAAAGACAGGCAGACAAGCACAGATGGATGGATTAACTGACAGACGAGTAGATGGATAGATTGTTGATAGAATATTTAAATAGATAGATAGATAGATAGATAGATAGATAGATAGATAGATAGATAGATAGATAGATAGATAGAAAGATATGCACAGATATATGGATGGAAGGACAGACGAGTAGATGGATAGATAAGTTGTTGATAGAATATTTAAATTTGTAGATAGATAGAACAACAGACAGACAGACAGACAGACAGACAGACAGACAGACAGACAGACAGACAGATAGATAGATAGATAGATAGATAGATAGATAGATAGATAGATAGATAGATAGATAGATAGATAGGCAGACAGGCACAGATATATGGATGGAAGGACAGACGAGTAGATGGATAGATAAGTTGTTGATAGAATATTTAATTTGTAGATAGATAGAACAACAGACAGACAGACAGACAGACAGACAGACAGACAGACAGACAGACAGACAGACAGACAGATAGATAGATAGATAGATAGATAGATAGATAGATAGATAGATAGAATGAATGACAGGCAGACAAGCACAGATGGATGGATTAACTGACAGACGAGTAGAGGGATAGATTGTTGATAGAATATTTAGATAGATAGATAGATAGATAGATAGATAGATAGATAGATAGATAGATAGATAGATAGATAGATAGAAAGATATGCACAGATATATGGATGGAAGGACAGACGAGTAGATGGATAGATAAGTTGTTGATAGAATATTTAAATTTGTAGATAGATAGAACAACAGACAGACAGACAGACAGACAGACAGACAGACAGACAGACAGACAGACAGACAGACAGACAGACAGACAGACAGACAGACAGACAGACAGACAGATAGATAGATAGATAGATAGATAGATAGATAGATAGATAGATAGATAGATAGATAGATAGTACCTGAATTGTGGAGTATCTCGTGTGTGGAAGCCATCACAGTTTTAAATGGGCAGTAACTCAGGCTCCTCTTCAAAGTCTGTCACTTCCATTCAGACGTCAGATGATCTCTCTCGGTTCATCGTGTCGTTTCAGTAGACGGAAATCCTGCCGCGTGGCGTATATAAAAGCTCGGGGAACGTGAACTTATGTCAAAGATTACACCTTTTAAATCATGCGTCTTGCAATTTTCTAGCGAAGAGTCTCGAGCAGTTCCTTAGTGTGCCACACTTCCTGGATGTGGTGAGCGACCCGCGAAAGTCTCGAGTCAACAAGGTTTCATATTCACTGTGAAATGTAGAAACTTCTGTTTATTAAACTGATATATACAGTTAAATATTCTGCTTTGATAATACAATCTAAAGAGTTGGAGCTCAGGAATGAAACTATAAATGGGCGTGTCCTCTGTACCTGCTACTGTACCTGATTTTGTCTTATGAAACCAACACAAATATTGTTCAAAGCGGTCGAATATGAGAGAATACTTTACTCCTCCTCAGAGGAATGTTCTTCGCATGTTCTGTGGGTATCTGTTGAACAGGGCAGCTTTTTGTGGTAATGTACCATATGATGTTCGAGGTTTTCCCACGTGATGTGGATCTGTCTTTGCGATATCAGCTATTCACTTTTCACTATGTATTCCAACTGTGAGCAGTTATTCATTGTGTATTGTAGTAGAGTAGACTACCTTTTTTACCACCTGTTGGTTGAGACTTTAGTATTAGACAGTAGCCTACTGTTATTACATGTTTTTAAATGCTCCTTCTTATTGAGGCAGGTTTTATTTCCCTTATCAGGGGTAGGAAATCAAGCCAGTTTTGTTAAATAGTTTGACTGACAGGTATTAACCTGTCACCACCATAGTGTGACTGTGACAGCTTTTAGAGACTACTATAAAGTAAGCCCCTTTGTAGGCATAAACAGAAGTTCTAAAATCAGTCAAACTATTTAACAAAACTGGCTTGATTTCAAGCCCAATATGGAAATTCCTGTGTTACTTGAACCAACATTAATAAATATGGAAATTACATTACATGTCCATAGTCTTCCAGGTTTAAAATATTTTTGTTAGGACTTTTAGAGGACACGTAATTATTACATGCCACTATATAATAAAGATTTCGTTTTTTCACAAGTATGTAATCATATGATCAATAAAAAAGTAATTGTAATATATAATGTAATGTAATCTAATTACAGTTAGTTAACCCAAAAGGAGAATGTTTGTGTGTATGTGTGCGTGTGTCCGTGTGTGTGTGTGTGTTCATTATAATTAATAAAAATGTTTTTTAAAAAAAGGCTTAAATAGGTTTGGGCCTATAGTTTATACCTATAAAATATATATAACATCGTTTTCTATCACATTTTTTCTGGTGAGAGTTAAACAAATACAATTTGTTGTAATTAAATATTATTTAGTATACAATCAAATATAATATTTTTATAATAATGTAATGTTATGTAATAATAACATTACAAAATAAAATATCCATCATAGAGTAGTCCAGCAGTCAAATTTATTTAAAAAAAATGTATTATTTTAGTTGTAAATTAATTTAAAATAAAAAATAAAAATCATTTAAAATGTAGAAAAGAAGATTGAGTGATATAACAAACTGCAATATAAAAAAAAATAAAATAAAAGTACAAATCTGCATTACAGGACTTGTGTCCCATGGCTGGAATTGCTTAAGGCCCCTGGGCCCACATGATGTTGCAGTCAGTTACTGTACATCACTGGACCAAGTCTGGCTTCCAGACAATGGCCAAACATAGACCATATCTGGGCCAAGTCTCAGCCAAGTTAATAATCCGTAACTGGGCCTAAACTGGACCAGATATTGGTGTGTCCCGACTGCAATGAAATTGATAAACCCATCAATCGTTGCGTTTTGGGCACATATGGGCATGGTTTTTCTAAAAGTGACATGATTGGTAGATTTATTTATTTTTTTTACTTAAAAATATATTAAATATATTTTAAATGTGTGCCCAAACTTACAAGGCCTACATATCAGTTTTGTAACATCTGAACCAAATACTACATTTGACATCTTGCCCATGTCTTGTGTGCTGCCTTAAAGACGTTGCCATCTCTGCCAAAAACGGGCCATGTTTGTCTGACATGCAGTATGCCATGCCGGATTAATGATTGCTGTGCCAGCTTTATGCCAAATCTGTACCAAGATTCTTTGCTACTTGGGCCGTTTCCCTTTAGGTTGGAAGTTAAAACTGATTACATTATCAAGGTAACATGTAATCATTTACTACCCATTGCATACTATGTGAATAGTATAACAATAATAGAAAAATAGCAGCTTTACAGTTCTTGATTTGTTCACTAAACAGAGCTGAACCTTGCCTGCCACTGAAATTTGAGATTTGGCTATAGCAGAATAAAGCTTTAGCATTTTGTCCAGAAGAGGTCGCAATTTCTAATGTCTGTGTGTTTTCAAATGCCCCAGATGGAGATTATACTGTAAAATGAACGGTACATCAGATTGGATGTTGGAAGTTTCTGGTGTTAGCCTATAAAAGTTCCTTAACTTAGGCAGCTCATACCTGTGCCTGATTATTCAATTCAATTCACCTTTATTTGTATAGCACTTTTACAATGTAGATTGTGTCAAAGCAGCTTTACACAAAAGGTCATTGTAAATTGGAACAGTGTAGTTCAGTTTTTAGTGTTTAAGTTCAGTTCAGTTTAGCTCAGTTCAGTGTGGTTTAATAATCACTACTGAGAGTCCAAAAACTAAAGAGCAAATCCATCGATGCATAGCTCTACCCATCCCAAACCATGCAAGCTAGTGGCGACAGTGGCGAGGGGAAAAAAAAAACTTAACCAATTGGCGAAAGTGAAGGAAAAACCTTGAGAGAAACCAGACTCAGGCACGACCATTTTAATATTTCCGCTGGCCTGGACTCTAAGACTCGTCTGTTCCTGTCACAGGAATCAGTCTCATGCTCTCCACTCCTCCATGACCACCACAGCAGCTGCTCAGGATACGGCCTGGTCCAGGATATGGAAACCATGGGATCATCTCAATCAGTGGCGCTGCATAGTCTGAGGACCTCGGGATGAGTATCTCCAGATGGAAATAGAGCATAAAGAGAATAATTAGCGTAGCTGCTGTTCATAGTGTATATAAACATGGTGCAGAAACCTGTGTGGAAACCCACAAAATGATGCAGTGAGTGTATGCTTTACTAAACAGATATGTCTTTAATCTAGTTTTGAATTGGGAGATTGTGTCTGAGCCTCGGACGTTATCAGGAAGGCTATTCCAGAGTTTAGGAGCCAAAAATGAGAAGGCTCTACCTCCTTTACTTGACTTTGCTATTCTAGGTACCAGAGAGTTTTGAGATCTTAAAGAGCGAGTTGGTATGTAGCGGGACAGATGGTTGGTTAGATAAACAGGAGCTAGATTATTTAAAGCTTTATATGCAAGAAGCATAATTTTAAATTCAATACGAAACTTAACAGGCAGCCAGTGTAAGGAGTATAAAATTGGGCTGATATGATCATATTTTCTAGACCTGGTAAGAACTCTGGCAGCTGCATTTTGTACTAATTGAAGTTTGTTAATAGAGGATGCTGGGCAGCCAGCAAACAGAGCATTACAGTAGTCCAGCCTATTTCACTGATCAGACCCAGTCTAATAAGTGTTTTTTGACATGAGGAGGGACATGAGCAGGAGTAAATATGGAACAAAGTAACTGCGCGCTCTCATAAAGTGGTTGGGAATAGCAGTGCAAAATGCCAGGTTAGGGGTCGTCACGGAAACCCTCCATACACTGGGTGGGGCTCTTTGTGCCAAGAATGGCTGAGTGGAGGAGCGGCTGAATGAAGGATTAATCCCACACCAGTGAATCTCAATGCTCCGGCCCCGTCAAGAACCAGGAGCTCATTCCCATGTGCTGGTCTTTATTTCAGCCATTCAAGAGTCAATAGGTCTGATACACCCCCAGCCCTCCACACACACACTCGTGAACACTGAAAAAATTGCAGTCCAAATAAATGAACATATGGATACATAAGTGTGTTTACAAGTCATTGATAAATCAGCATTACAATATGAACACATTTTAATAATTGTAAATAGAAACTAAAGTAAACACATATTTAAAAACATAATATATTGAGAATTAATGTGTCATTTCTAACTCTAAAATAAAAGAATATCCAATTTACTTTCAGGTTGTTTACTTAGAAATTGCTTGTAAAAAACACTAAATTAAAGGTTACATTTTAAAGAAGACTTTAATTTGTTTTTGTAAAATGTACTCTTACGATATAAAATTTTTTCTAAAGAATAAATAAATAAAATAAAAATCAGTTCCTAAAGTTGTACTCTCACTCATCCATGCAGGCTTAAAAACACATTCATTCATGTCCACAACCCCCCTTATTCATGGCACACTTGTTTAAAACAATGAGGAGCTCTTATAATAAGTAGGGAGGTTGATGCAGCCTGGTTCTTCTTTAACACATTTAAATCTACCCCCACTTCACCTTCACCAAGAACCACAGCTGCCTCTCACTTCCCAGTCAAGCACATTCACGCACATTTTCTCTTTCATCAGCAGTTGACGCAATACATGTGGCAAGACTGACACACAGGAAAGTTTTGCTCATTCGTGGAAGCTCAACATCTGCCTGATTTTACTATTTTGTAATGCTCATGCTAAGATTAACTACATAAGGTTAACATATGATTTGGTTGTTTTGGTTTTCTTTCTCCAGTCAGAATTACCCTTGTCAAAAATCCTTTTGGAACTTCAGTTTATCCTTTAGGTTTCTATAGGATCTTAATGGATTCTAAAATTCTAATGGACATTCAGAAGTCTTTTATTGTATTTTCACTTTGTCTTATAGGATTTTAAAATCCTTTTGGGCATAATGGAATTTCCAGTTCCAGTCTTTAGAATCTGAGTTAGATTTTTTATCATTATTAGACATTGTGTTTTTGTTATGGAATTTCACTTTGTTTTATAGGGATATTTTTTATTCTGTCAAATAATTATTTTTAGATCAGTAGTGTAGGATGTTTTTTATTCTTTGAAGACCTATGGTTTTTCTTGTTGCAAAAGATGTTTTTTGTATCTTATTTATGACTTTTTAAAAGGATTTTATTTTTTCTAATGTGTATATGTCATATTTTGTCATGAGTCATCCACTCTCATGTCTGTCAATTTTCCTGTTTCATGCAATAATACCTCATTTCATGACGACAGTAATATGCGGTTATGTAAATCTCCAGCAGAGGGCAGCACCAACTCTGTTGTGTTTTTGTGGACATTCAATTGATATGTGTGTGAATTATAAGGGGATTTTCACTCGTTTCTCCCTCCTCACTCCTTGAAGAGTTTCTTTAGTAAGTTATTTTATCACCTCAATCACTTACATTTATGTAAACATTCCTTTATCTTAAATTTTAGAGCATGGCGTTCGTTTGTGTTTGCTTCAATTTTGCCTTGAGTTTTTGTTGCGAAAATCAACTATATTGCTTCTAAAATGCAGCTTACGTTATGTTTTAAGCAGATTGACAGTTGTAATAGTTTTACTACATATACCATGGTTAAATACTTGTTTCTTTAGGAAAACCATGGGTAATTTGAGGTGACCATTGTTTACTAACGTACAACAATTTCAACGTGTTTTGGTTTTACGTAGTACAACATTTAGTAGTTTTATATATATATATATATATATATATATATATATATATATATATATATATATATATCTATATATATATATATATATGTATATATATATATATATATATATATATATATATATATATATATATATATATATATATATATATATATATATATATATATATATAAAAATTATTATTGTTATTATTGACTATTTGTAGGAGGGTATTAGTCAAAATGCCCTGAATAGATTAAAATTAGTCCAAAATGTGGCTGCGAGACTTCTGACAGGGGCTCGCAAATATGAACACAAATCCCCAGTTCTTTTCTCTCTAGGCTGGCTGCCACCAATTGGTCACCAATTGATTTTAAATTATTAATTTTTGTCTATAAATCTATACTAACTAACTAACTAACTAACTAACTAACTAACTAACTAACTAACTAACTAACTAACTAACTAACTAACTATA